GTTGTTGCAGTCAGTGTGCACTTGACCTTCCTGTGTGTTTCCTAATAGTGCATAGCCTGTAATTGTTTGATGGAGGGCGTGGCCTGGCTGCCAAAGCTCTTGCTTCACACACGGAGGCCCGGGTTCGATTCCCGGCGAGGTAGAAACATTTCCTTACACCTGTTGCCCTGTTCACCTAGCAGCAAGTAGGTACCTGGGAGTTAGTCGACTAGTGTGGGTCGCATCCTGGGGGACAAGATTGAGGACCATAATGGAAATAAGAAGACAGTCCTTGATGACGCACTGACTTTGTTGGGTTATCCTGGGTGGTTAACCCTCCGGGGCTAAAAATCCGAATGAAATTTCTTAATTAAGAATGGAGAGACGAAGTAGGGAGGAGGGGAGGGTTGTATGGAGGGAGGGAGTGAGTCAGGTAGAAATGGAGAAGTGAGAGAGTGAAGCCAGACAATACAGGTCCAGGAGCCTGATATGGCTTCTGTCTCCTTGTGTTTCCCTCCTTCCCTCTCCACTAAGATTATCTATTACCTTCCCTTCCGTCTCCTATCTCTCTCCCGCGTTATATATATATATATATATATATATATATATATATATATATATATATATATATATATATATATATATATATATATATATATACATATGGAAAAATCACAATAAAATGTGTGATTGCAAATATGAAAATAATACCAGAATGGAAGTAGGAAATAAAACCTGAGGATTGTATGTACTTACACAAGTTCAGAGGAAGAACTTAAAGATCATGAAAGTGCTCTGGTTTTTATTTACTATTTTAAGTGTGGTATTTTTCATACATACACGTTCAAGAGTGGCAAGTAAGAGCACGTGAAGGAAGAGTTGAGAGCTCCAGTATTAACTCTATAAGTGTTTGTGATATGTGGAGGCTGGTGCGCACGTGCAGGAGGAAGACCATAACTACACTTTCTTATTAAAGATATATAGAGATCCTTAAGGTGGTAGATGCTTCTCAGACCCTGGCATTTAATGTTGCAGAAGTTGCTGATGTATATCACACTGGTGAATGTGACAGCATGACAACGAACGACATTTATAAAGAAACCATTGCCTTTTCAAGCAAATATTTTAGTGACCATGTTATTCGGTAGAGCGAGAAAAGAGACGTGGCTATTGTGTTCCTCGGTATAATTATGGTATATAATATCAACAAGTAGATAACTGTGAACTTAATATGGTTGTATCGCTACTAGGTGAGGTATCTAATCTGAAAAGCTTCGCTGGCACAGTACATTACTTCAGTCGAATACAGAAGTATGAATATGGAGAAAACAGCAGTGTAGAGGTAAAGATGATGTGATCAGTGCATTAACATTGATGTAGTAGTTAGAGGTGATCAGTCCCTCAGCCTGGTGAAGTATTCATCATGGTCTTCAACCATTGTTCTTATATTCGCTCTAGCACCAGTATTGATGAAGAAATATACCAGAATTATGAAGTGCCAGTACTTAGTGTTCAGTGAGTGGTTTATGTTTTTTACGACGTTTTATATGAAGTACGACCATAGTTGTCTCAGCAGACAGCCAGGTGTCAGGTGCTCCACACCAGGGGCAGTTAACACCAGTTTTTTGCATTATTCTGACAATATAACTGTGTAGCCTAAGAAAGTAGAATTTGCTCAGTTTGTACATTCATTATCTCTTTGTGTTATTTTATAAAATATAAGTTTGAACAAAATAAACTAAACTTTTTATTTTGCCATTTGAATAACTTAATATTTTTTGGGGGGTTTTAACTGACCCACTTAATAGTATGTAAATGGTCAGGAACTTGTATAGTTCCTCTTAAAAGGCACCTAAGTTCCCCGTCCTCTAATAATTAACATGCTCATTTTTCCACCATAAACTACAGTTGTGTTGAAGACGTGTGAGCGCAATTACCGTCAAAGATTTGTTAAGTTATACCATGAATTAAGGAAAGATCCTGGACTTCACCTTACAAAACAGACATAGCAAATGTGATAGTAATTTTGGACAAGGTAGATTATAGGGGAAAATGAGGCACTTACGTGCCTCTTAAAAGACAGTCAGGGTATGTTGGTAATGTTATGCACGAAGAGAGACTGTGGACGTCTTGCTCAGTTTTGTGTACATATGTTTTCTTTTGAGGTTTTATGCAGCATCTACTGAGCCTCGTGTTCTCGTAGGAAGTGATTCCGGTATACCAATCTCTCTGGTCCTAGTACATGTACTGATACTTGAGGAATCCCATTCGTTACACTTACCATTCACCCTCTGTCTTCGTTAGGTCTTCCTGCATCCAATGCCATACTTATTCTTGTATCCCTTCTTGTTCCAGTAATTCATAAATCAATCTTCATTCAAAGTGTTACATGATATTTTGTAGTTCAAAAATTTGCACTCTACCCATCCTTGTCTGTCTTACTTTATCTACGTTATTCTGCAATAGAATTCTAGTGTGTTATTGAGGCAGAACTTATCCTTCCTAAATTTATGCTGGGTTTCTGAAAGAGTTCCTTTTGTTTATGTACTCAACCGACCTTTTTCTCATTATCTTTCCCGGTACATAGAACAGTATACATGTCAGTGATACTAAACTGTCATTCACTGCTCCCTTACATTTTCTGCTTCCATATTGGGACTACATTTGCAGTTTTCTAGGTGTCAGCAAGTTTTCCCGCCCTTAGTCAGGTAGGCACCAACCAGCATGAAAATATTACTTTCCTTCCAAATGAATGAGAAATGGAAATCTCTTATATTTTTTTCACTCTGGCAGGATTGTTGATCTTTTCTGTCTCATGAACGAGTAAGACTACAGGTAAATCTTACGAACTTCTGTTTTCCTTCTTCATAGTTCCTAATCGTGTACTATTTCCATCTTAAGGTAAATGTGGTGGAAGATTATTCCCCAGAATCACTGACACGTGACACGTTCAGTGTCTAGTGTGTATCTTTGTATCTGAAGATCGAGACACTTGTGCACCAGTGGGTTTTCAAAACCATTTATCACAACTTTGTTATCTTTATATCTTTGATGAGCTTGCCTGGTCAGTCACGCTGTTGCTGCTGGCCCACATATCCATCACAGCCTGGTTGATTGGCACTTGGTGGAGGTAGTTGTCCAAATTCCTCTTGAAAACTTCTACATTTGTCGTAGCAGTGTTTCTGATGTCTGCTGGTAAGATGATGAGTCTTATTGTGTCCACGGCGCCTTTTCTTTTCATTGGGTTTATTTTGTACTTCTTCTCATATCTCTCACTCGAGTATGTTGTTATGGCAGTGTGCTATGCTGCCAGCCCCCATTATGGCTTTGATTTGTACTCACCGAGTTGTGTTTGCAGGGATTCAGCTCTTGGCCCCGCCTATACTGCTTTCATTGATAGGCATCACTTATGTCTTGCTCCTTACATCTTCTCATATCTGCTCTTGAAGCTGTGTATTGAGTTTGCCTCCACTACTGCCTCATCTAAGTCATTCCACTTTTCAACCATCCTGAGGCTAAAGAAATACTTCTTTACATCTTCAACTTCCACCTATATTTTCTTGATCCTGGTCCTCTTAATTCAAACACTGTCCCTATCTGCCCTATCAGTTCCTCTTAAGATTGTGTATGTTGTAATCATGTCTCCCCTTCTTCCTGCAAGTTCGTCAGTTTCAGTTTCTTCAGCCTCTCATAGTGCATTCTTTCAGTTCTGGTACTTGTTGGGTTGCAGACCTTAAGATCTCTTCCGTTTTTATACTTGCTTGTATGTGTGTGTGTATTTTTTTCTTATTTGTGGTTGCAGGAGTCGAGCGTCGGCTACTGGCTCTGTATCTTGACTGCTGGTTACCGGGTTCACTCCCTCCTAGTGTCGTGGGCTCAATCATACCTGTTCTTAATATAAGAACATAAGAATGGAGGAACACTGCAGAAGGCCTACTGGCCCATACAAGGCAGGTCCTTATCAAAAGAACCACTACCCAAAGCTACTCAAGAATTTACTCCCGTACTCACGACACCAATCAAACCCAGCACCTCCCACTCGTATATTTGTCCAGTCGCCTTTTAAAGCCACCCAGGATCCTAGCCTCTATCACCCTACTCAGAAGATTGTTCCACGCATCCACAACTCTGTTCGACAACCAGTACTTACATATGTCCTTTCTAAATCTAAATTTATCCAACTTAAATCTGTTATTTCTGGTTCTTACCTGGTTCGACACCCTCAGTACTTTATTAATATCACCTTTGTTTATGCCCGTCATCCACTTATACACTTCGATGATATATCTCATTGTACGTCTCTCCAGAGAGTGGACATTCAAGGTTCTAAGACTGTCTTCATACTAGAGATTCCTTATACAGTAAATCATTTTAGTCATTCTTTTCTGTATGTTCTCCAGTGAATCTATATCCATCCTGTAGTAAGGAGACCAAAACTGAGCGGCGTAATCGGTATTGTCGGTACTGTATACCATTCATGTACAACCTGTCAGACACTGCAACATCATGGAATCTTGGTTCAGAGGACATCTCTACAACCTTCTTCACTTCTACTAACCCGTCCCTTGGATATGACCTACTTCCACTGGGGAGTCCCGCCTACCAGTGACAATGCCTTCGTCTGCTACCTGCCCCATTTTCACCTGACGCCAGTATATAAGCGCCAGCCTTCTTGCCTGTGCTCCACATTCTTCACTACTACGGTGCTCTTCACACCAACTCCAAGGCTGAGGGACTGATTACCTCATCATTTGTATATAGTTCTACTGTCTTCAAATTATGTCCTAGAATTTGTATTGATAAAGCAACTGGATGGCGAAACGTCTACATTAAAGATACCCAAAAGTTGCATGTGTCTAATTCTCCCTCTGATTCATTTGTCTTATTAAACTGTGCCCTCATGTACTTATTTCCTGCCTGTGTATGTGTGTGTGTGTGTTTAATAACAATATTGTGCTCACATGTGTTAATTTTAATGCATGTTTGTACTGAGTATTAATATGTGTTTGTTTGTGTTGCAGGCAAGCAGGAAGGTGTCCAAGTGTGGCTACCTGTTCGTGGCCCCAGACTGGGACTTCTCCATCCCCCTCAACAGAACTAAGGTAGGTCACCCCACCTACACCTCTTGTGTATGAATGTGTTTGTCCTCAGGTTATGCTTCAACTTTATGCATCCTTAGTAAGGCATCATTTAGATTATGCTGCACAATTCTGGTCTCTGTATTATAGACTGGACATCAGTGCCCTGGAAAACATGCAGAGAAGAATGACGAAGCTGTTCCCGTGTATCAGCAATCATTCCTGTGAGGATAGACTGAGGGTACTGAATTTACACTCTCTGGAAAGGCGTAATAGAGAGGAATAGATAAAAAGGATATAAATAACGTACTAAAAATATCTAACCACGATGGCAATGGGTTCAAGTTGGAAAAAATTAAGTTCAGAAAGGATTTAGGAAAGTATTAGTTTGGTAATAAAGTTTTGAACATACGGAACAAACTCACGAGTGGCGTCATTGATGCCAGAACCTTGGGCAGCATTAATGTTAGATAAGTACATAAGTTAGAGTGAGTTGGACCTGCCTAACATGGGCCAGTTAACCTAGTATAGTGCCTCTCCTTTCTTATGGCGAAAAAAGTAGAGTGAGTTGAACCTGCCTAACATGGGCCAGTTAACCTAGTATAGTGCCTCTCCTTTCTTATGGCGAAAAAAGTTTGAAGATTCATCACATTCATCACAACTGTCAGACACTGCAGCATCATGGGATCTTGTTACAAAGAATTCTTCAACACTTGTCCAACCTTTGGACAAAGACCTACTTCGACTAGTGGATGGTACCACTATGACCCCGCCTCCGCCTGCTTCGCCTCACCTGACTACAGTATATAAGCCACGTCTACGGCCCTATGCTGTACATTCTACAAGATTGATGGACTGAACACATCGACTCCAGGCTGAGGGACTGATTACCTCAAACTCCTCCTCTCCTTACGCCTTTCTACTTTGTATTGGACTGATGAAGCCACTGTGTGGCGAAACGTTTCCTGAATAAAGATTCCCATATGTTAGGTAAGACACATATGCAACAGTTAGGTATGTTTATTTCGAAACTATGGAACAATACTCTTCTCCAGACTGAGGGACTGACCACCTCAGAACTTCAAGGGTGATGGACTGATTACATCGTCTTCAAGTATCTTCTGCTTCTATCAACTTTTCTGTACTCGACTGAAGAAGCCTACTGTGTAGGCGAAACGTTTCGAAATAAAGATACCTAACTGTTGCATATGTGTCTTACCTAACAACCTGTCGGTATTTTATACCATTTTAATGTTCATTCCCATATGTTGCATAAGTGTCTCAATCTTCAAGACAGTAGTGCCTAAGCGTGCGTAATATGGCAAATAGATTGCTGGGATTTATATCAAGAAGTGTAAGCAACGGAAGTCCAGCGGTTATACTGCAGCTTTATGTTCTTATGTCTTCAGGAGGGAACCTGGTCATGAGGCCAGCACCAACAGCCTGGAACCTGATCATGAGGCCAGCACCAACAGCCTGGAACCTGATTATGAGGCCAGCACCAACAGCCTGGAACCTGATCATGAGGCCAGCACCAACAGCCTGGAACCTGATTATGAGGCCAGCACCAACAGCCTGGAACCTGATCATGAGGCCAGCACCAACAGCCTGGAACCTGATCATGAGGCCAGCACCAACAGCCTGGAACCTGATCATGAGGCCAGCACCAACAGCCTGGAACCTGATCATGAGGCCAGCACCAACAGCCTGGAACCTGATCATGAGGACAGCACCAACAGCCTGGAACCTGATCATGAGGCCAGCACCACAGCCTGGAACCTGATCATGAGGCCAGCACCAACAGCCTGGAACCTGATCATGAGGCCAGCACCAACAGCCTGGAACCTGATCATGAGGCCAGCACCAACAGCCTGGAACCTGATCATGAGGCCAGCACCAACAGCCTGGAACCTGATCATGAGGCCAGCACCAACAGCCTGGAACCTGATCATGAGGCCAGCACCAACAGCCTGTATATAAGAGACTTATTGAGGCTACATTTCGTCCACCAGAGACTTCTTCAGTAAAGTTAGTGAGTTTCTTTTGTGAAGGACCTGCCCAGTATGGGCCAACAGGCCTGCTGCAGTGTTTCTCCCTTCTTATGTTCTTGTCCTTTGAACTGGACTGGGCGAAACGTGTCTTCAGTGGCTGTCTTGATAATCACAAGCGTGTTTTACAACTTGTCGGTGTTAATTAGTAAGATTGACAAACCAACAGCCTCATTGATCAAGTCATCCACCGGGAGGCCTGGACGGGGCCGCAGGGGACGTTGACTCTGGGAACACTCCAGGTATACTCCAGGTAAGTAGCTTTGCCTGATGAGCCAGGTGGGCCCGCTGGCCGCCAACAGCAACAGCCTGGTTGACCAGGCAAGCATCAGACGAACCTGGTCACAGGCTGGGATGTGGGAGTACTCTCTCGAAGCAGGTCACTGTGACGCCATTGACTCTGTGTTGATCAATATTACTCGTTATATTGTGTGTTGATCAGTATTCTTATATTCCATATGTTGATTATTATTATATTCTGTGTGTTGATAAACATTACTTCTCAGAGGGTCAGCGCTTCTTTTTGCTTATAATAATAATAATAGTAATAATAATAATAATAATGTGAGAGTACACGGCAGTACAATAACAAGGTGTAGGGTAGGTACCTCAGACTTGACATTGTGAAGCAGGTAAGGTGTGTCACAGGTGTCAGATGGTGCAGCAGAAGCCAGATCACACCGCAGGTGAAGGTGGGTGAGTCAGGGGTGGGTGAACTTCAGGTGGAGCACTCTCCAACACAGAACTTGTACCTGCCAGGTGAGGGGACCATTGAGAACTCTGAAGGCATTAATAATGAAAGTCAAGATAACAGCGGAGACAAGACAGGTAGGAGTGCAGGCAGAACCTACGATGTAAGGGACACCTGCGTTCTTCACCGAAATTCCACAGCCATTTAATCCACTTTAGAGACGCAAGACTCATAGTCAGGAAGACAGTACCGCAGGTTCTTGGAATTACCACTTATGTGTATATCTAACAGTTTCAACCAGAACAACAACTCTTACAACATATGTGAACACCTTGCCAGGAAACTTCATGCTTATCCTACATAACAACATACACACTCGCCCGTCTCCTGCACGTTGGTCTAAAATCCAACCTACCCAACATTCTCCACCTTATGTACTCAGTACTCTTTACCCAGGTAGATCTACTTGACTTGATAAAGCTCACTGTGTGGGCGAAACGTAGTCAATAAAGGAACCCATTATACCGTATATGTGTTAATTTTTCATTATGTGGGTATTTTATGCAATTTATCTCTTGGAGTGAAAGCAGAAGTGCAGTAATTCCACACGCGCACGCACGCACGCACGTTGCCTCGGCTCATTTAAAAACGAATAGGAACACTGCATCAGGCCTACTGGCCCATAATTAGCAGGTCTTTGTCAAACCCAAACCCCCTAACAAAAACATTCGTCCAACCCATTATCAGTGTTACCCAAAGAATAAGATTTGATAACTCCATTAACTCGTGCATTTATCTAACCTATAATTGAAGTTATCCAAGCCAAAACTCAGGTCTGGTTACTGAAGTGTGTTGTAAATGTACGAAGAAATGGACACCAAAGTTTAAATGATATTATTAAATAAGGGAAAAACCAGAGGCAGTATATGAGTGAGAAGCACCGCCTGAAGGTCACCTTAAGTTGATTTTGTGGCTCGACTCCAGACCAAGCCTCCTAGCTGATGACCTCGTCAACCATACTGTTGGTGATGGCTGCATACAGTCGAGTGTGGGTGCCACAGCTCTGCTGATCAGGAACTGACCTGATAGCTGAGTGTCTCTTGGTAATTTTTCTTATGCCCCGGGAGTAGAAATTATGGAAACCCCTCAAAGGTACAGCAGGTGTACATACAAGAAGTGTTGAAAAGTCTCTCTCTTTATATTTTTAATTTATCTTCTCGTATATTCGTTGCACCCGTGCTTTTCATTACGGGAATTTTATTCCATCTAGGAGTGATTTATGTGGAGAGTTGGAACCGATCCCTCCAGAGTGATCCACTTTCAGGGACATAAAGCTTAACCATTAATTTAGATGCTTGACTGGGCAGTGAAGATTCTCTGTACATTCTTCAGAAATGTAATTTCGCTTGCCTTAAAAGTGGCTGTTAGTCTACAACAGTATTAAGGTCTAGAAGGGAGCAAGTCACTAAATCGCATCTCTGGTCTGAAGGTTTTAATTATCCAGCCTGTCATTTTCCATGCAGTTATAGTAATGACACTTTTGCGCTCTTACAATGCGAGATTTTCTGACATTATCACTCCTAAATCTCTCACATTTATCTTCCGCTTTATGGAGTAGTTTGAGTTTGTTTTAAACTCCGTTTTCGATTTTTTTTCCTGAAATTTTCCGTTGGGAAGTAATTGAAATATAGCCTCACTCACCATCACATTGTGTTCTGTGGCCCACTTGCAGACTTAATTTATATCAGCTCTCCAGATTCCCAGTGTCCTCATTGGATACAGCCCGTACAAATTCTAGTATCGTCTACAAAGAATTTGTCTTGGCCTACGTCTGATATCAGAATGAAAGAGAGAATTGGGACGAGTATTTAGCCTTGAACAGAGCTTTCCATTGTGGCAGTCTCTGATTTGACTTAGTTCATTATTACTCTACTAGTGGAGATGCAGGCCAAGTTTGGAGCCATATAAACAAGATGAAGTTTGGGTGAAGGATCATGTAATCATCTTGAAGTACAGAAAACCTCTCAGTGACAAGAAGGAATGTCGGGAACTCAAGAAAAGATACCAGGTTTTTGTACCTGGTGAAGGACAAGTAACGGAGCTTGAAGAGGACGCACATCTTCCAGTAACACTCTACCGTATAATGATGCCACAACACCTGAACACGCAGTACAGCTCGGCGGAGTAAAATCAGTGGGTTAGGTACAAGGACACATGTGCAACTGATGTTAAATTTTATTGTGGCAACGTTTTGCTCTCCATGAGCTTTGTCAAGCCGTAGACAA